GTAATTGTTAATCGTACCTTAATCCAGGAAAAAGTTAAAGTCGACGTTAAGAATATGTACGTAGGTACATATTGGGATATACAAAACCGCAAAACTTCTTGCAATAGCTGATAAATAAACTTTTTAAAATTCAAAAGAGATGCTTGTTGGATAAAATATTAACAAATTTATATTTTTTAATGGCTTGTGTATAAAAAACGTTTGGCAATGTTTAAGGTCGACTTTTTCTTAAATTTAAATTACACATTGGACTCTTGAAAATAAATTCAAAACGACAATAACCTTAGTCTATATTAGCTTTCGAAACTAATAAAAAGTTTCAAAATTATTTAAGCTTTTGTAAAAAATATCCCATTGTCATTAATCTTCCGAAACCTTATATTATTTGAGGCCAAGGGAGCAGAAGTGGCCTAACCCATTTTTTTTTTGTGGTGTAACTTATTCCTTAATTATGAGGTACACAGCTACATAGCTATCATGAAAGTAATGCATAAGCGACCTTTATTTTAAAATTGATTACATTTGAAACTATTTTAAGAAGGTACTACAAAAACGAAATTGTGGGTTAGGCCACTTCCCCTTCCACGGCCTAATTTGTGAACTCAAATAAATTTTCTTCAAAAATAATACAGTGAGAAGAAACAGTGTCAAAATAGTGATTTTGTTTTACAAATATCAAATGTTTTTCATGTTTAACCTTTTTTGTTAATTTCTGATAAAAAAAAAACTATAGTCTATGCTATAGCCAAAACCATTTAAACAAAAAATAGAAATATTTGAATTGAATATCTGATAATTGAATTTCTAAAACATTTCTGAGTGTGCGGTTCTATAACCATGGAGTTTTAGTATTATATAATAATAATAATTTAATATAAAAATTTAAGAGTACCGTAAACTTTTTCCTGATCCAATAATCGAATCTAAACCAACTTTCTTAAAAAAAAAAAAATAATTATTATAGAAATCGTCTAACGTGATCCAAACATATATTTAAAAAAAATATTCCGACGAATTGATAACCTCATTTTTGTGAAGTTGGTTAAAAAAACATCATTTTGACATTTTTGCTCCTCACTGTAAGTCTCGCATTTCTTTACTTTCTATCTTCAACTTCCTATACTAATACTTCTCCCTTCAATTTTCAACTTTCAACCTTCAATTTTGTGCCTTTTGCTTGCCCATTCCTTTGTAGTTGCATTCCAACAATTATAGTAAATCATCTAATGTAAAACTTACATTTTGCTTAATAGGAATCAATTAATACTCTAAACCTCAACACCTATCACTCATCAAAATTGAAATTAACTTTTGCTGCAATACACTTCTCTTTTTTTTTATTGATTAAAGGTTTTCCTGCCAAAAAATTGGTCCACACTTTCAGACTTTGTTCCTACTTTTGCTCAGGATTACATTTCAGCCCATAACCCAAGAACCCGCTAAGTTATGTTCATCGTTAAAAATTGTACTTAAGTAAATGTAATTGTACTTAAAATGTTAGGTAATTATTGTTGAATTATTTTTCATATTCCTTTAGTTCATATAATAATCGAAATTGGTCCCTAAAGTGTATTAAGCATTTAAGTATTAATATATAAAGCACTTTTTTTTGAAATTGGCAATGTTTATAAAAAAAAAAAGAAATAAAAATGTATACTAAGCAAAATTAAAAACAAAATTTTTAAGTTTTTTTAAGTTTTGAGTTTGTAAATTAAAAAAAAAAAAGTTGGTATTCTGCTTTCCAAATCACCTAACATTTTTTATTCTACACTTTGTTTTGCTTTTTTGTTTGTTTTTAGTTCCCAAATACCTATTTTAGCCGTTTGCATAAAATGCTTGATTGTGTGCTGTATCATATTTTTTGTCCGAAAACTATAGAAATTAGACAATTTTTTTTCGTCTAGCACCGTTCACCCGGCGGGAAAACCTAATTCAAATAATCGCAATGCATTGGACATCGCGTAGGAATAGGGTGTATTATTTCTGTTCAACCAGTTTCTTTCGAAGTACATACATATACTATTTGGCGATGCGGTGTTTATCGAATCAATTTCTTTAAAAAGATACCATCTTGGGGCCTTCAAGCCTGCTCGAATAAGGTTCTCTCACCGGGTGCCTTGCTGACAGCTTTTGCAATCAGCTCGGTGAAATCGTTCCACATGTTAGAGATAACATTCCTTGCGAGAAGCTAAAAAACTTTCACTTCACATGTCGCGGCTATTCCAACTAGGAGCCCAAATTCGGTGTTGGATTTGTGATGGAAGAGTGACTGTTCAGCCTGGTGGACGAGGACGAAGTTCGCTGATTAACCCTATCCCCGACATGATAAAAAACAAACGTGCTAGGTGATGTCAATGCCAGGGTGGGAAAGAAAGGAATCGTTGATCCTAACGTGGTTGGTAAATTCAGACATGACGACGAAACATCCATTAGCGGTCCGTGGCTGATCGAATTCGAAGAGGCCCGAAACATGGTAGCCTGTAACACTAGGTTTCAGCGTTAAAGAATTTATCAGGCTACATGGCTGTGCACGAATCGAAAAACGAGAAGGTACGCTTCCGCCGCTGTACCCGCTGATGGTAGCAGGGGAAAAGGAAGGCCTCTTCTAGACTTTCCTGGGGATTTTCTCTTAGCATCAGTGGGCACAGAAAAAAGGGACATGATTTATTGAACTCAGCCAGAATTGGCTTAGGCGGGTACTGTGGCTAAACAAGAAAAAGGCTATATTAATAGCTATTGCAGTTTAAAATATGCTGAAACAATTTATTCTAAGCGCCTAAAAGACTCACAAAAATGCACAAATATAATTAAGTTTTAGCGGCATATTTTTGGGCAAAGCAGTTATGACAATAGTTATGCTATACGTTTTGTCATCGTGTAAAAGTAAAGCTATTATTTTTGACGAATTGCTTGTTTCTCGGGACGTTTGCAGTAGATCACGCGCATGGATAACTAAAATTTTCATTAAAAAAAATAAATTCCAAGTTTTAGTTATTTCAAGCAACCTCCGCCACCACTGATCCTTGCCAAGTGAGATCTCTAAATTATCTAATTTTTCTGGAAATTCTTAAAACTTAGCTTGATGATACTCGTATTACCTTCGAGTAAATGTTTGGGTTCTAAAGAAGAGTGCGCCTCACACTATTTAAATTTTTTTTCCCGAAACTCTAAAAACAAAGCACTGCTGCCTAAAACTATGCAACATCATATTAACTGCCCCCCAAGCTGCAAGAATTATATGTACCCTGCTTTTTATTTAGAAACTTTTGAAGATGAAAATTTAGAGACGAGTCCACAGTGAAATAGTGAAGTTGACTAAGCGAGTACGAAAATGATTTTAACTCACAATCTCTCCACCCTCCCTGCGCTTACGAAAACTGATTTTTATAGAAGTTAACTAAACAATGTTGACATACAATTTATACCAGCTGTGAGCGCTCACAATTGAAAGTACATAGTATTGTTGCGTAGTAGCATTGCGTATTTATTATCAAAATTTTTTTCTCTAATTAATAGAACTATATTTTAAGGCGACATTTCCCATTTGTAAGTATTTACTTAGTTTGTTTGTAAGTACTTATGTATGTATGTACATATGTAGGTAAAATAATGCTTTAGTTGCCATTGTCATTATTTCTTCTTATTTATTAATCGCACAACATTTACTTTCTTTCCCTTCTTTTACCAAAACAAAAAAAAAACGAAAAAAAACAAAACACAAAACACCCTCGATTACATCTACAGAATAGCATCAGTGAATTGGACATTTCCAGCCAACAATTTCTAGCCAATAATAAACCAGAAAACTCTACCTCCATTCATGCCGTCGGCGATGCTGTTGAAACAACAACAGCTTTAACAACAACAAAAACGACGTCAATTACTGCTAATGCAAACCCACCAGCAGATGGCGGTGTTCTTCTACAAAACCAAATAACGGACGTTGAGCAACATGAACAACAGGAGGTGGAGACAAAACCAGAAGATAAGAAGACAAATTAAATGGGCCAGTGGGATACATATGTCACCGTGAGGAAAGGACGAAAAACTAATGGAGAGTGAAGCAGAGTATGCCGCTTTGCAATTACTCTGAGTCTGATATTCTCAAGTTTTATGCAGTACATGTAGAAAAACAAGCAACATAAAAAAAAAAATAAAAATAAAAAAATAAACGCCAGAGAAGAAAACAAAAGGGAAAACAAGGATGCTGTAAAGGGAAAAGTCGAAAGTGTTTAGAGTAAGAAGTGTAATGCTCCGAAAAAGTGTGTTTAACTATACTTTAACAGAAAATGCGCGAAAAATTTAAGCAAAGCAAAAAAAGGTAGAAATGTGGATTAGCTGGGGGGAATGTCTAAAAAAAATGTTGAAGAAGAAAGATTTGAAAATGCGTAACTTCTTTTGTTTATTACAATTTTAACAAAAATAACTGTCGTTTTTTAATGTAACACAATGTCACTACCAATTTGGCTAATCTAACAAAAAGCTAAAAGGTTTTTAATGTGTAATATTTATATAAATTGGCTGGCAGTAACTGCGAAAGTTAGAAGTTAAAAAATACACAAATTTATTAACTCCGCTTTTTAGCGCGAAAGTGAGTGCTGACAAAGACTCGTTAGCTCCATAACAAGTTCAAACTTTCCATTTACTTTAGTATAATTTGGAACATTCTAATGGATTGCACCTAAATGTATGCTAAGCTATTATATTTTTGCTATGGATTAATGTATAGCGTTTAAGTTTTTAATAAGTACTATTATTATTTTATTTTGCATTGAAGTTACTTAGATCGCATTTAGTACAAGTTAACACTGTAGTTTTACAAAAAAATTTTATTTTATTAAAAAAAAAGTGTAAAGTATGAAAAGGTATGAAGTGTTTGTTGCCCTCACGAGACTTGCACCCGCGCAATGCTAAGCGAAAAAGCAAATTACCGTATGAATGACCGAGCATACACATACAACTGTCTTTTTTTTATTTATTTATTTATTTTATTTTTTTCGTAATGATTTTCTTAGTTGTATTCTTCATGGTAGTATAATTGTAAGTACGACGAATGTAATAGTGTATAGAATAGCCAGTTTGCGGAAAATTCAATAGAAAAGCGAAAAAGAAGAATGAAACTACAAATGTACACTGGCGGTCACGCATAACTTACCACCACAATCTTCTTCGTGAAGTAGAATTTTGTACATTAATAAAATAATTTGTGTCTAAACTTTGCACACAATATAGAAAAACTCATCAAGTTTTCATCAAAATTTTTAGGAAATTTTCGGGTATGTAGTTTTATAACTCGATACGATTTTAGTATGATAATGTGCAAGCTTAAAGTGATCCCAAATTGTCATTGATTTGTAAAAAGTTTGCTGGCGCAGTTTTTTCCAAACAATGCATGCTTTTTATATGGGGAGAATGCGCAACATCGTATGAAAAAAAATTCCAAAACGAACCAGAATTTTGAGCTATTTCTAATTTCAACTACATACTAAAATTCAATGGACTATAAAACTTATTACTCGAAATTTTTATTAAAAAGTTTGTGATTTTTATAATGTTTGAATCTTTGTTTTGTATTAGGGCTGTGCGGTTAATTGATTACTCGAAATTTTAATTAATCATAAAGTATCAATTATTCGATTAATTGGAAATTATGATTACTCAAAAGTTCAGTTACTCGAGTAATCATGATTTTTGATTAACCAAAAACAAAAATATTTGAGTAATTTGCTTTATGATTAATCAACATTTCGAGTAAAATGAGTAATCAACATTTCAACTCTTTACATATGTATAAAGTAGTTAAAGTTCCTTGGTACTTTGAAAACAACGTTTCCGTTTTCAAAAATAAAAACAAAAAAATTTTTTTATACACAGAATGTAAAAAAGAAAATAAGCATTTTCCAAAGCAAACTCTTTTAACGAGCAAAATTATTTTTTTTGAGTAATCATATTTCAAGTAACTCGATTAATCATCGTTTTGAGTAATCAAAATCTTGATTACTCGAGTAATTGATTAACCGAATAATTGATTAACCAACTTGCTCGAGTAATCGAATAATCGCACAGCCCTATTTTGTATAGTTTTTGTTATAGTATGACAAAAAAAAATAATTTTTTATTAATTTACAAGACTCTACCTAATTAAAAAGAATATTGGTAGTAAGTTATGCGCGAAAGTGAGTGTACATACATGCAAACCTACCCACTCATACACAAATATGTTGTTAGCATTTACTTACAATTGTAGTTATACATAAATATGAACTAAAAATAACAAACAAAACGAAATTAAATAAAAGAAACTTAAGCATGAGAAACAGCAAAAAAAAAATTTAAAAAAATACGCAAGCCACACTTGAAGATAGCGAAAGAAAAAGTAAAACACTGAGCCAAAACAAAACCAAACTAACACTTTGTACACACAAATATGTAACCAAATAATATTTTCCTTTACTGAATGTATGCATGTTTGTTTGTATTAGTGTGTAGCGCTGCAGTACAATGCTGCAGCGTGGTTTTAATTAAATCAGTGCAAGCACCAGTTTGTCACATATCTAGTACGAAAAATAAAATTTCCTAAACTGAATTTCTATAAAAATGTAGTGAAAGTGCAAGCGTTTGTTGAACTTTTTTTCGTGGAATTGAGCGCGCAATAAAATAACTAAAAATAGTACATATTTGCAAATGATGTAAACTAATATATACTAACTAAAAAAAGAATAGATTAAATAAACAAATCGTAGTAGTTGTGTACACCAGTTAAGTAAACTTTGTAAAACCTTTGAAGAGTAAACGAGGCATTGTAATAGTGAATCAACTGCTACATACATACATATAATAATAAAACCAAAACTGAATGAATGTGAAAAACATGCGGAAAGTGTTATTTTCGTTTAATTTTTTTAGTGGCTTAGTGGCACGTACTCTGGATAACTTTATCGGCATTCGATATGCCTTAAAAGTTCACAAATTCACATGGCATGTTCTTGGGCTTTTGAGACCTGATTTTTTTAGTGAGTATAACTAGTTTCTAAAGAAATAAAAGCATTTTGTAGTAGATGCAGTGAAATTTGATATTTGACTAAAGGAAACCCTCAGCATTTGGACTGTAAACGAACATATCGAATACCAGGAGATTTCCCACATTCTTAGTGATCTTAATTGACCAGTTTATAGATACTTTCATTCCGAGGTAAATTTTACTGAAAGCCTAATCGATTCTCATAATAATAGGCCCAGTTTAGTATACCTCTTAAGCGGTAGTGAAGCGATGACAACAATTTTAGAACTTTTGCTTAGGCCGTCAGCATAAACACAACCAGCAATGTCAGCGTGGAGATCAAGCAAAGAATAAAACTCTTCCCAACAGGCGAATAATTGGAAAGCAAAGCCCTCTCATGATGAAAAAAATGCGCTCTACAAATCTCACAACATGCCCGTCGTACCTTTTGAATGAGCCGTTCGTGCGACGTCATCATAGAAATGTCCGCGATAATTTTTTTCTCGCGTAGATAAACACAACTTCAAATTATTTGCAAATGGCGACCGGCGTTATTTTTTCTCTCCTTCATCTCTCTTACGCGTTGCTAACGTGGCGTCATCCCCGGAGGAATGCGCAATCTTTGTTCTATCATTCTTGTGTAGGGGGGCTTAATGCTGTGGCTAAGAAGAATACGAGGTGCCAGGGCACATGGGAGAGAATAACCTCGATAGGACCGGAGTTCTTTCTTTCAACGATAAACGTTTAGGAAGGAAAACTCCAAACTATGGGAAATGTATTGGCGTAATACCTGGCACTCATAGAGGGCATTCACAATGGGCAAGACTACCTCCGCGTGTAAGTAAGAGTCATTCGTACGCGACTTCCTAGCCACATCGATATAAAGAAGATTACGTTCATGAAGCAGTTTAGTTTGGTAAGATGTAAGTCGAAACCTTCCGATCTGGAAAAAAGACTGTTTTCGAAATGATATCTAACATGCACTTCTAATAATCTTCAATTGTCGAAAATATGTCTTTGAGAATGGGGCAGGGAAAAGAGTTTTCCCATACGGAAAAAAAACAACTTGAAGCTTTGATTTGATTAAAATGATTCTGCGTAGCGTATATGTATGTACATATATTTGTAGTTTATATAGGAACACTTTGTCATTCTTTTAATTAATAACAATAGTAAATAAGTTAACAGTATAAAGATATTTTTTAGACAAGCTTTCTAAATATGAACCAAATCGGACCATAAATACGGTGTTTCAAAATATCTCGACCCCTGCGCCACCTATCGGTAAAATGTATTGTGGAGTTATTCCTTTTCATGTAAGTAAAAGCTTTTTTAAAATATGAACTACATCAGACCATAAACACAGGTTTTCGAAATATATCGACCCTGCGTCACTTATCGCTAAAATTCTTTATGCAGTTATTTCCTCCCATGGACCAAATAGGACTATAAATACGGGTTTTTAAAATCTCACGACTCCTGCGTCACTTCGCGGATTAATTCGTTATTCATATTACATTGAAAATAAATCGAGGCGGGGTATACGAAATTGAGCAAGGCGAGTCAAAAATTGTTGATTCAATTATTCAAACTTTCAAATTACCATTAAGTATATTTGTATAGATGTGCCAGTATTAATTTCTTAGCTTTTGTAACTTTCTTGCATAAATTTCATACATTTTCATCTAAGTGCTTAAATCAATGACAAACAAACAATGAACTCACTTTAATATTTCTGGCGTGATTTGGCTACATGGCACCACAATTAACAGCATTCAGTACCACTGCTGGTGTCCATAATGTGAAAACTTCGCACCCTAACCATAAATACTGACATAATGAAAGAATGGCCTGAATGGATGCTCACACCATTTCAGTATTTATGGGATAAGGGAAGTTTGTATGATTTATTACGCGCGTTTTTGTTTACCCAACACCAACAACTGCCAACCAGGTGTGATATGGAATGTCTCATTGTTTGTATGAAAGATTGTTTCCTTCCTGCTCTTGAAAGGCACCACAGCTTGATGTACATATATCTACATACCTACATACATATACAAGTAAATGGCAAAGTTTCTTCAAAGGCCACCTTTTCGTTTGTGGGACATTGTGAATGTGTAAATCTTTCCAGGTATGTACCTTATTATCACAGCGCATATTTTCTCTTTGCGCACTTCCTTTAGCGATTAGCTGAAATTATTATAGCTGCATTGCCCCCCCAAAAAAGAAAGTGGGAAAAAGTTTCTTATGTAACATTTAGTATGTAAATTTGATAAAAAAAAAACACGTGCCATCATTTCGCTCTGCTTCAAGTATCAGTGTAGGCAGCAGAGTATCCTTTGTTCTTTACTGGCAAATAAATATTTTCTTGTTTGCTGTTGCAGGAAAATAAGAATTTATAATTTCCTTTGAAAAACTTTTCTAAACTTTTTATCGGGTAAGCAAAAATGTTACTCAACTTTGGTTGTGCACAAAGATAAAAGAAATGCTCTAAAGGATAGGCATTCATATGTGTAAGTGAAAGCTTTTTTAAGCATATGTAGGTTAGGTTAGGAAGGCGCGTACGCATAACTCGCACTTCCACTTGGAGGCAGACTTAGTCATTGTGAATGCCCCACGCAATCCTTCTAACTGAAATTATTCAATATTAGATCGCCCTCACCCGCTTCGCTGCGTGTAACACTGGTTTCCAGCAAAAGTGTTCTATAGTTGCCACTATCCAATTCCGATGTAGAATCTCTCGGTGATTCCGAAAATCGAGATGATTTTTTTCTATGGATAACTTTTCGAGATATTTGCTATTTAGCCTAAAAAGAAAAGTGATTTCACTTAATCACGTATATCTTACGAACCAATTGAGTAATCGTGATACGAGCTATAGGAGAGGAAAGCCAATAAAATTCTCCATAAATCACATATACATCTCTTTTCGATACCCCTGTTAGTTTCTGAGAAATTAATTAATCATTTCTGACGCCCCCTGCTTTCGATGCTCAGGTGTACGTGGCGTATGAGTAACACTCTTTCCTGCTCATATTTTATACAAAAAATCCTTGCGCATTTTCATTTCACCAAACATTTTCTTCATTGGTAGCTTAATTTTTTCTAAAGTAACAGGCTTTAACACAAGTGTAAAAAATTTATAGAGAAAAATTTTTTTAAATTTTTCCCTGTTAGAGTATGAATGATTTCCATTTTTCCATCAAAAAAACAAAAAATCTGGAATGATTTATTACCTTCTCAGAAGCTGTCAGGGCTATCGAAAATTCGTGTATATACGGTTTATGGAGAATTTTATTATGGTATTGTCTCATGTCGAAATTCGTGTTCGTAGGCATAAAGCATTTCGTTGAGACCCTGCATAAAACTACATCCAAGATAATTAATTTATGATTAAAAAATGGAATTTCAACCCACTGTGATGACTTGGGTGGA